GCGTAATTCAAATTTTAATATGTTAGGATTTGCAATGATCGACGGGTGGTCAGATATTTTTTGGAGGGGAGTGTACATCTGAAATATTCCGTCTATTCGATAACCCATTCTTCTACATTCTGGCTTTTTGCGATGCGTACATACTCTCTTTCTGTTTTTCCTTGTAGCTACCGCTACACTTGATGATTCTTTTCTGTGAAAAAATAAGCCATAAAGTTAAAAAATATAACTAAATAATTATGACAATCAAGGAGAATATAACTTACAGTTTCCATTCCAATCATATCACTGAGACTATGATTGATGATAAATGACTATACATTTATATCATACCAGGCTTTGAGATGTTGCTTTTGCAGTATTTCATTAGGGTCTTCATAATATGTAAGACTTGTAGTAAATGGAATATATGTCATTAAATCTTTGTAACAATATCGCTGATAAAGAGGCAAATACTCACAACTTCCTCATCATGATTTTGGTCCATTCAGCATTGTAATGTTTTAACTAATCATAAGGTTCATCCTCATTTAGGAAGGATGTTGTCTTTAAGACTCGTCTCAGATCGCTTATTGTGTTAACCTGAAATTGGCAATATATCAGGTTTTAGGAAATTAAAAAAAAAGCTAATTATCCCCAACTTACATCTGAAAATCGCATCATAGAATTTGCAAAGGCACGATCAACCTCTGGTAATTTTGACTGCATACTGGATTTCATTCCATTCTTCAGTTGTAAATAACGACCCCACTTTCCGATCATCAAGATTAATAACCCATGAATGTAGAAGTGATTCAACTGGCAGTCGCTCACAATGTTTAAAAAAAGTATCCTCAACACACTTCCCAGAAGAGAGAACCCATTTATGAGCTACATTCATTTTTTTGTAGGATTCCAGAAAATTTTCAAGCTGTGATGATATTAACAATGATTGAGGATTTTGACCTTCGATATCGCTTGTATTACAAATGGAAGTAGGTTGTGAGTCTAAAAAAAAAATCAAAGAAATTTCAACCAAAAGAATTACCTTTGTATGTAATCTGGATCACCATAATCCTCAGAAGTAAACGAATCATCATCCTCTTCAGATATAAAAGTGGAGTCTTGTGCTTCAGCCTCAACTTAGAAAAGAATCTCTTTGATTAGCAATTATTCAGTTCTTTAATTGCTATGAATGACAGAACATCATGATATCTAAATAATCTATTTCAATATAAAACTGTACCTCGTCTTTCTCGTTGTCCGCTTTGTTAGAAATGCCTTGTCCATTGCTTAATTTTCGCGGTTTCTTAGTTGAGTTGTCTATTTCTTGCAAAAACAGATTGGACGATTTTTTTTCAGAGGAACTGTTAAAGAAATCATCTATCTCGTCACTTTCATTATATTCATCCTAAAACATTAAATGCAAAAATTAGTTCTTTTAGTTCTAAAATTTTAGACAAAGATGCAAGTATATACCTTTTTCTGAGGAATTTTTGATATGGCCAATCCAGCGAAAGTTCTAACTTCAATAGTTCCAGTTCCACCATTAATATTTCTAATCTCAAATAATGGATTGTGAACGTGAACAGAGGCTGATCTATGCTCACGCATGTGTTCTTCGTCCTATTCTTTTGCTTTTTTACAATCTGATTTACCATCCTAGAATAGAAGATTTGTAAATTAACAATATATTTAAGTAGTATACTAAGTTCCATCAGATTTTCAGTTCCATCAGATTTTCCGTTCCATCCTATTGAATCGACTAATAGTCTTGAACAATAGACAAGCTAGTAGGTTGCCTGTGTCTAATGGGGCTGGTGTTAGGTCGACTAATAGTCTTGAACATCAGACAAGCTAGTAGGTTGCCTATGCCCTAACACCAGCTTCGTGGCTCAACTAGTAGTTTTGAATGATGAGAAGCTAATAGGTTTTCGCCACGTCACCAATTCTCTCCCACTTTATAACAAAAAAAAATCTTAATATTTGCCTTTCTATATCTATAAAGTAGCTTTTGTGCTGTTTCACTCCTTTTTCCTTCCCAACCTTTCGTAATCATCTCAAGACATTTTACATAACAGTCAATCTTTTTTTTAGTGGTTCTAATTCGCATTCATCCAAGAATCCTTGAATGGACTATTCAGAGTAAAGACAATGATTTTCTGCGGTAACAAAATGCTGATTCCGTTCGTGCTAAAAATAAATTCTGCAAACTGCTGTGCATTAACATTTGTTCATATTCTGTAACATTTTTTAAAATTTTTATAGATTCTGTATAATTCTGCGAAATTTATTATAATTTTTATTATATATAATAAAAATTAACTATTATTTAAATAGAGCATATTTAAACTGCGTAAAGATTTTTCAGATAAATTTTGCCAATTATCATCTAAAATTAAATTGTATTTAAAAAAACTTCGTTCTACACTATAGGAGGAAACTGGTAACCATATGTAATCTAATGCTATTTGAGATAAAAGAGGTAAATATTCAGTCACATTTAACCAATATTTATCTAATGTAATATTCATATTTATTGTAGATCCACAATAAATTGCTCATTCATGTAATAAATCATTAGATGGATTATCTAATTCTGTAATAATCCTATATTGACGTATATCTTTTCTTATTATATCACTAAAATGAATAAATTTTGGATTAAAACTTGACATGCATAAAAAAGAGGGCGTCCAAGATGAAAAGGAATATGTGTCATAAATTTTTCATATGCTACTTTAAATGCTTTCTAAAAAGTCTTATAACAATGTTCTGGCTGAATATAATTATTAATTCCAAACTATATCCAAAACTTATTACAACCATGTTACTTTCTATATATGCTGTAAGATTTTGTAATTGATTTTCAACAAAAAGAAATATTGGTTTTTCTTGTTGAAAAAAATCTAATGTTTGAATAAATTGTTGAGAAAAAATAGAAATGAAGTTAACAAAAATTCTAATAAGTCTAAATTTTTGTGTATCAGAAAGAAAAGATGTAATAGTTTTTAATGCTTCTGTTCTGGCTTCTATTCTATCGAGTTCAAGTTCATCTTGAAAAAATCTATGCCAATATATAAGATGATCTTTTGTATATTTAAACATTTTAAACTAAGAATTCCATCATGTTTTACAAGGGAGAGGAATTTTTCGTGATTGATTGATTCCATGAAATTTTAAGTGATCTATATATTGACAATGACGTGCTAGACTTCTAATAAATGTTTCTTTAACCTTTTCTAACAATACTCTAACTATTGAAAAACCTTTAAATATACACCAAGTATCACTAAAAAAATTGTTTATTAGATTTATTAAACTTATTTGATTTTATAATAAAATATATAAATAAATTAAAACTTATCCAATTAAATTTAAAATATGTGTATAGCAAGAAATGTGGATTAATTGTGGCATTAAAGAATGCAAAACTTTACGATAACATTTTTTCATGTATGCCGCTGAATCTGTAAGAAAAAGTCAAGAAAGAGTAACTGAGATATCATATTTTGGAAGAATACTAATAAAGGTTTGATCTATAGTTACATTATTTACGTGTGTAAGAAAGTCTATAGAAACCAATTTCATATCTTTACAATATACAAAAAGGAAATTAACTACACTTCTTTGACAAGCATCGGTTGTTTCATCCATGATGATAGCAATAGGTTTTTGATAAAAAAGATTTTTAAGGTTTTCTAAATGTAAAGAAAAAGTTCGAGATACATATAGTTGATATAAAGTTGCTACCTGCAGAATAGTACCACCTTCTTTACAGTATTTTTTAAAAAAATTAAGTAAGGAATTTACTTTTTCTAAAGGGATATCTGCTGCGGTAAAAGCTTCAATTAAATCATGAATCATAATTTTTTTGGATTCAGAGGAAGAAAGAGATGTAGCAAGTGTTTGTTGATGCCGATGTTGTTTGTTTTCATATAAATTTTTTTTATTTTTATGTGATACTATTAAGATGGTCATCGATCATTGATTTTCATATCCAATCAACAGAATGATCACAAATTTTACAAAATAAAATTCCATCATCAACTCAGAATTCACCTGAATATTCCTCTATTCTAGTATTAACATTAACTTTTACTTTGGGACCTCTTTTTCTCTTCATTACAAAAATAACGTTAAAAAAAAGGGAGAAAAAAGATTGATTATCATGTTACACTTATTAAACCCCTTTTATACTATTTTTGCAATTGAAGATCTATTCTGTGAGTTCTGCGAAAATCCGTGAAATGCAGAAAATCATTGTCCCTGGCAATTACTTATTCTTGTAATACATGAGGTTCATCTAACATTTATTGAATACTTTCTTTCTTCAGCTATAATATCACGCAATGGTTATGATATTTCTTATCAATGTCGTGTATAAAAATTTTTTATTAATTGCATTTTACGAAATAGTGAAGATTCAATCTGAACAGCGATTGTGCAAAGCTTCATTTTTTTCAGACAGTAGTTTGATCGTGACATTTTGTCACTATCTTTTATAACCTAAATTTCATTAACATAGATGACAATTCTAGATAAAAAATCACGTGCATGTGAACAATTGTTCACGTCAATCACTTTTGCTAAGAAAAATTTTTTATTAATATAAGCAATAAATAAATACAAATGTTTGGGACCTAGTCGTGATACACTGTTTACATGATTATAGACTATAATCCCACCCCTATTTTTTCGATTGATAACCCTCTATTCTGATCCTCTTTCTGTCCAGTTCATCCTCCACACATGCCATATCCTTTAACAAACTCTCAATTATGCCCAAAACCTCTTTCATGCTATCACATAATGATTGGTATGACTTGGAGTTTGGTTCCAAGGCCTTTTTGGTAAATTCGATCAAATATGCAGTGTTACTCATCTTGGATATTTTTTGGGGTTATATAGAAGGAAGTGCCAGTCTCAACCTGTCCTATAAAAAATTTGCATACGTTTTTTCATTATTATAAATAAGTTTTGTATACGTTTTTTGAAATTCTGTATCACA